CGTCGAATAATTCAACAACTTGTCACACGCAAAGAAATACTTTGACTTGATGAGAATAAAAGAGAAGGGGAAAGTTTATTATATAGGGGAAGGGAAAGGAGGTAAACTTTCTAAACTTCCAATGTGGGACAAAGTAAAATACTTAAGAATTTTTAATTACTAGCGAAAATGGGCCTACCTAGGTTTTGGGTCGTTACAAAATGATTTATAAACTCTTATGAATTGATTTATAAACCCTTATATGTTTTTTTGTAAACTCTTATAAATAAAGGGGAATTATGAGTGATGTTTTAATATGATTTTTAATCCATACAAATTATTTTATTAACCCTTATAAATGATTTAATTAACCCTTAAATGATTTATAAAATTTTATAAATGGTTTATAAAAGTTCTAAAAATGGTATATAAACCTTTATAATCAATTTACTAAATCTTATAAATGGTAAATAAACTTTTATAAAGGATTTGTAAACCTTTGTAAATGATTTATAAACATTTATAAATGATTTATAAACATTTATAAATGATTTATAAATTACACATATATTATTGATGCATTTGTTATTTAAATAGTTTTGTAAATCCATATAATTTTCTTTTAAACCCTTATAAAACTCTTATATAAACCGTTATAAGCATAAACCGTTAGAAGCAGAGAGAATTTAGGTTAACAATGTGGTCATTGGACCATAACTTGGCAGCTATTTATCATCTTGAGCAATGATTGTATAAACTTAGTTGATGATTGTTTTCGTTTCAATTCTTGGCTCTATAAAATCAGCTGTTTGATCAAAGCACAGAAGTCAATCTTCAACGAAAATTCAGATGCTGGATTCATCAAGTTGAACAATTTTTCTTACGCAATCATTGCTGTTGGTGAACCTCCATATGCAGAGACAGCTGGAGATAGCGACAAGCTAACTATGATGGGTCCTGGTCCAGCCATCGTTACCTCCACTTGTCAGGCTATCAAATGTGTTGTTGTAGTTGTTTCAGGGAGACCACTTGTGATGGAACCTTACGTTGCGTCGATTGAGGCCTTGGTTGCAGCGTGGCTACCGGGAACAGAAGGCCAAGGGATCACTGATGCTCTCTTTGGGGACCATGGCTTCAGTGGGAAACTTCCTATTACATGGTTCAGAAACACAGAGCAGCTATGGAGATTTGCATTATGATCCGCTTTTCGCTTATGGGTCTGGTCTTGTAACTGAGTCTGTTGCGAGCATTGTAGCTAGGTAAAAGTCCTTAAAACATGTTGCATCATTCTCAGACAAGAGATTAAGATCCTTTTAACTCCTTTCTTATAATATTATAAATCAGTTCATCAATCCTTATGAATCAATTTATACACTCTTGTAAATCAAAATATAATCTCTTATACATTAGTTTATCAGCTTTCATAAATTAGTTTATGAACCCTTACAAACCCTTATAAATGATATATAAGCTTTTATATATAATATATTAACTCTTATAAATGTAGATACCTTATTAATGTGTTATAAACCCTTATACATTATTTATAAACACTTATAAAGGACTTTTAAACCTTATGAATAGTTTATAAATCGTTATAAAATGATTTTATAGGGGATTATAACTATATAATCTTTTATAAGGAATTATTAAATGATTTTATATATACTCTTATAAGAGTTTCTAAATCTATTTCATAACATTTGTCAACGTTCTATAAGATTTTATAAGTTTTCTGGATTTTATAAGGTCTTATAAATTAGTTTTTAGTCCTTATAAACAATTTTATTAAGTTGATTTAAAAAACGTTGACAAATTTCTCTAAGTTTACATTTATAATTTCATATAAATAATGTTATAATCCCCTATAAAAGATTTATAAATTATTATAAAACTTCACCTAGGGTATTTGTAAACTCTTCAAGATTTTTAATTTTCTATAAATATAATTATAATGTATTTTAAAGTTTGCAAAGGTTTTAGATGATTTTATAAATTAAATCAGTTTTATAAGACTTTATAAATCCGTTTAAAGTTCATTAATGATTATACATAAATTTATAAAGTTTTAAACCAGTTTATAAGCATTAATAAATCAACTTAGTAGAGTTGTCTCATACTAACTACTCTACTAAACTAGACGTAGTTGAAGTCTGTGCCTGATTATGTATGAACTGGAATCTATTATTTTGTAACATGTTTGATCAAGAAAATAAGTTACTAACTTCTCTGTGGCATATGTGCCTGATTATGTATGAACTGGAATCTATTATTTGGTGGCTAAGTAATTGAGACTATTTTTTAAAACGCTTTATAAATTAGGTTATAAATATTTATAGTTAACTTATAGACTCAGTTTTATAAAGTATTATAAATTAGTTTATAAATCCTTATGAATCAATTTATACACACGAGTCTGGATAGAGATGGACAATCTAGAAGTTAAGCAGGACATATTGTCTTATTCGAGCATGGTATCTTGCTATTGGTGGTTAAGATCTTGGCTCATATATTGTGATGACTGATTTATAAAAGTTTTTTAAAAAAATTTATAAGAAGTTTAAACTTATTTATAAGAGCTTATAAATTTATTTATAAAGATTTTATAAAATGAATTGGAATTATATGAGTTTATAAATGACTTATAAGTGTGTATAAAGACATAAAATGATTTATAAAGATTTATAAGTTGATTATGAATTAGAAAACTCCTCTGATTTAACTCTTATACATGTTTTATTAACTCTAATGAATAATTTACAAACCCTTGTAAGTGATTTATAAAACTTTATAGATGATTTATAAACGTTTATAAATGATATATAGACGCTTATCAATGATATATAAATCTCTTATAATGATAAATAATTACTCTAAAACTCTTTTAAATTATATATTTGTTATACCAATTATGAACTTTTATAAACAAAATTTATAAACCGATTTGTAAAATCTATTTATAAACTCTTATAAATGATTTAAAGACTTTCTAATTGGTTTCATGAATTTGAATTACCAGGTGGAATCCCACAGTCATGGCCAAAACTACTTATTAGAGCGTTACACCTTGAAGATGATAAAAAGTCTGCAATATCCTAGTCTCTCTATCTCCATAACTTGTTCCTACATTCTTTGCTCGAGCATTCCTCTTGCATGTGCTTAAGATAGTGAATAAAAGAGATACATGTCTCTGTTATTGTTACATCACAACTGATGATTACATTATATATAGTAAAGTTAGTTTTTGTGTGGATTCTAGTCCACCATAGATAGTTAACAATGATTTTCTTTTAATCTGAACCAATGTTCAATCAGAAGCATGAGTTCGGTTCTTGTACAAAAAAATGTATTCAAAGTGTTTGGACGCAACTTACAAGTGTATTGCTTGAACAAGCTTCCACTCTCTTCTTTCATTAACAAATCAATCAAACACGGATCTGAAAAACAAAACCATACATGTTGATGTGTACTAACGTACATCAGCTTAAACGTTGTGGACTCATCAACAACGCCTTTTTAAATCCTTTCCTTGATCATCTCTGAACACGTTTAGTCCCAACGTTTGAACCTGAAGCAGCTTCAGAGTTACAACTCAACAAACTAGAACACACATCATGTTCAATACCAGGGAAACTAAGAGCGAGACCGGTGCAGCAGCCAGCAACTCCAACATTAATGGCTACAACAAAGGAAGGGAGACGTTACAAGTGGATGTAAAAACAAGGCACGTGTAATCATTAAAACTAGTCTCACCGTCATCTTTCCCTCGCAATTGTTTCAGAAGGCAAACAACCAAACTGTGTACTCCAGACAAAACAGCAAAAGTCTTAACACAAGAAAAAAAAATGCAAATGAATCAGTTTCCATGGAACAATAAGCACAATATATATGCAACAGATTAGTAAAATAAAATAATGAGATGCACCTTTGCAGACTGCCCTGCATCAGCGGACAATCCTTTAAAACCTTTCTTCTTGAACAATCCTGAACCTAAACCCCGAAAAATTATACAGTGAGATAACAATCTCATCACATTGACATTCTCTTAACGAAAACAGAACTAACTCTCACATTGACAGCAGATTTAAAAGTACAACAGAGGAGCTATCCAATAGTGATTACCTTGGTTTAAGATCACGGTGAATGATAACATTAGGTTCATTATGAAGATTGTCATTCCTCTGTAAACAACAATTTAAATAAGAACTCTCATGCCAAATATGACAAATAAACTTTCACATAATATCTCAAATGGTAAGTACCTTGCGATATCCAAAGCAAAGTTGACAGCAGTGGCTGGAGTAAGACCACCCTTTTCCTTGAGGTACTGATGAAGATCTCCCTGTGACAAAATAGATTAATCATTTATGGATTAAACATTACAGAGATATAAGACAGGGGATAGTGAAAAGTGTTACCCCGCGTAAGTATTCGGTGATTAACATAAGGGGCTTTCTTTCGGTTACAGCTCCTAAGAATTGCACTATATTCGGATGGAGAAGATTAACTAGCAAATCAACCTCATGCCTAAAGTCCTGACTCACAGCAAATATGAAACTTATGAAACACAAGAATCTTAGGAGAGGGAGAGACTGTTAACAAGGTGTAAAACTCATCAGCTAACAGCAAAAGAGAAAGAAAGATAAGAACGTACATAACCAGTCTGTCATCTGACAGAGGCGGAAGAAAACGTTTCACAGATACTGGTGTCTCTCCAATAGGCTTTCACAATCTCACCAAAGGAACCCTAACAGAATGTGACAACCGTCCAATTTAGTTCACAGAAACTCAATGTAGAAACTCTATTGCACCAAAAAAATATGTAAAATCAAGACTTTGACTTCAAAAAGAAAACACAAACCTTTCCAATCATGGCGGCATTAGAGAAATCAGGCTCAGAAGGTTCAATTTCTCAGTCACATTTCTTTGGAATTGGTGGTGGCACAGGCTTTGGTTCAAAGTGACTTCCATTTTGACCCTGCATAGAGAATTTAACCAGCCAGGTTCAAAGACTAAGAGATCCACACACACACACACACACACACACACACACACACACACACACACACAAACACACACACACACACACACACACACAAATAGGACTGTTATTGAAACACTAAAACGTCTCTTTGAACCTCTAAACACAAAGATAACAAACACACACTCCATTTAAACAGCTGCTTCAGATAGGGATGAAAGTTTCAAAATGTTACATTAAGATTTTCATATAGAATAGCAATTAATATAAGATCACAAAGAAATTCAAGAACTCACATAAGATAAACCGCCATGAGACTTCAGCAACTCAATCATTTTCTGCTACCTAGCTCCTTCTGAATCAGCCAGAGGCTTCAAACAAAGAAACAACCAACAAAACATTAACATCAAAAGCTACAAAAACAATCAAATCACAAAACAACAACAACAAAAAAGACAAAGCACTTACAGTGTTCTTCCACCTATCCTGAGCGTTGACATCAGCACCAAACTCGAGCAGACAATTAACAACATCCACCCATGAAGCGATGCCACGTGTAAAGGCGTCCTCTTATCATAATCTCCAGCGTGAACCCCTCTTCCCCGGAAGCCGCGTCGTTCTGGTGCGCATGCCACAGAATCAGAGACGTTCTACTCACACGCGCCTTCTCCTTCTGTTTGTCGTAAGCCGGAGATGGCCCAGCGCTCGTTCCCGCGGAGGAAACGACTTGTTCGCCGCCATCTGTAACCGCCGACGAATCGGAGCTCATCTGAAGCATTAAGCAAATCCATAAGCAACCATCTTTCACATAAAGCAACCATCTTTCACTTTATTCCACGATTCTAAGCAAATCAATAAGCTCAAATCGTGAAATTAGCAAATCTGTGCGACTAATTGATTCTCAAAATCGGGAAATTCGACAACTTTTTGGGATGAATTGAATAAAGGAACGATCTTTTGAATTCAATAATTTTAATAAAGGATTGAACTTTTGTAATTGAGACATAAAAAAAAACAGAACATACATCGTAGGCTTCGGAGATCTATTTGAATTTAGCTTCGGCTTCTTTCTTGTTGAATACACTAGATCTCATCGCCGTGGTCGCTCGATCTTGTCAACGATGCCATCATCGTCAACATCTATCTCGTCGTGTTGCCATTGAGAAGCTTTCTCTCGAGAGAGAAAGACATAGAAAATTAGGTTAAAATTGTGAGAGGGTTATTTTTGTCTTTTACGTACTAATGATTTAGGTATTTTTGAAAATGTCCTTCTTCTAGGTGTATATATGAATGGTACCACCAAAATGGTATAAATGAAATTTTCCCTTAAACTAAACTTGACAACGAAGTGAACATGTGAATTTCTTAACTTTTGGTCTATATATATAAAAGAGTTTACATCTTATGTTCATAGAAGTTGGTACTTAGTACATAAATTATTATACGATTATGTCTCAATATAATGGGTTACGTAAGATTAGAACATACACTATAATTTGCGTGAATCAATAGTGGATTATATGGTAACTAAAATAAATAAAGCTAATATTATTTAAAAGATATTCTAAAGATATTATGTAGATGTATATAATTTGTGTGAATCAATAGTGGATTATATGGTAACTAAAATAAACAAAGCTAATATTATTTTAAATGATATTCTAAAGATATTATGTAGATGTATATAGATAACCTTCTAAGGATATTAATGATATTCTAAATAAGAATCTTACATAAAGGAACTAACACAATTAAAAGATATTTAGAAAGATTATTTAGTTGGTCTATGTAGATTAATGAATAGGTCCAAACAACATTTTAAGTAGATTTTTAGGACTCCTTCTCTTTTAATAGTATAGACTAGATTTTGACCCGCCCTTAAAAGGGCGGGTATATGTTTTGTTTTGTTTTTCTTTTAGAACTTTAATTTTTATATCTGTATTTTTTGGAATTATATTTATGTTTTTTGTTTGTATAATCATGCCAGTGTATAAATCTTAATCAACTTTTATTTTATAAATAAAAGAAATTTAAAAATTGACCTGCTCGCATTCACTCGTTTCTTTGTAATTATATACACATATGTTCGTTTCCTTGTAATCGTATTTATCTATTTTAGAACTTAACCCGTGCTTTAAGTTTCTATGTAATGTTGGTTTCTATTTTTTGTGTAAATATATAACACTTGTATGCATTTTTTTCTTATATATTATAAAAAAATAATTTATACGTTAGTGTATAATAATTTTTTAAAATTATTAGTAAGAAGTTTTGAGAAATGTATTGAATTTTTGATGTTGCATAACTATACAATTGTGTCATAGCCATTTTATACATTAATTTGTACTTTATTATTAAATAGTGGTTAATTATTTTTTTAAGTAACAAAGTATAATTATAATTTTGTGTAGCAATTAAATAGATAAATTATATATTTTCATTAAATATCCATGATTTGATTTCATAAATAATTATTTAATGTTATTATTAAATGTTCATTTAAACTTACACAATACTTAAAATGGATTTCATATAAATCAATGGAATGATTAAATAAAAAATGGTTTAGGATGAAACCACATTTGATATAAACCCAAAAGAAGGAATATTTGTTAATTTATATAACCGTAGGTAATATATATTTTCAAAAACAAAAATTGTATGTACTATATGTGTTGGTATCGAGAATTTAGGATGAAAATTATTTTAAAAAGTGTTGGTTACATTTTATGGTAGTTGCTGCCAATTATTTAGCAAATAAAGTGGTGGTTTTGGACATATTATCATTTAGACATGTTTCAAATTCAACAGTATTGATTATATTATAATCCGTTCTTTGAAAGGGTGGATATATCTTTTGTTTTCAAACTTTTGAAAAAGTTAATTTTTATATTTTTGTTTTTATAATTATATGTGTGTTTAATCATTTATCAATAATATAAAATACTTAATATTATTAATATAACAGAATAATATATATGTAATAAATAGTTAGACCAAACATTTATTAATTGGTCATGATCATGTTTTATAGAATAGATTATTTAATGACTATATAATATCATATAGTTTATATATATATATAATATTTTAAATTTAAATATGTCACAAAATTTAGTGACATAACATGTATTATATCACGTTGTAGCAATGTTAACTTCTACTATTTTTGGATCCATATAGTTAGTCATGGGTTAAAATTAGGGCTGGGCAAAAAATCCGGATCCGAAGAACCGAACCGAATCCGATCCGAAAAAGTAGTAACGAACCCGAACCGAAATTTATTTAATATCCGAATGGGTTCAAAATTTTGGTATTTAAAGAACCGAAACCGAACCCGACCCGAACCGGAGTATTTCGGGTATCCAAATATATCCGAAAGAAATTTATATACCTATATATATTAATTATTTTAGATTTAATGTATATAAAATACCTTGAAGTTGTTCAAAATACTTGTAAATATATAGTCAAACATACATGTCTAAAATTGCTAAAGTACACTTAAAACATCAAAAATACTTAAAAAAATTATTGATTCACAATCCAAATATTCAAATCAAACTAATTTATATGTTAATTTTAGATATTTTGACTTATGTTTATTCAATTATTTGCAATATATTATTTTGTTTATAGATTTTTAGAAATTTAAAATATATAATCAATTTTAAATTTTTTAAAAAGAATTTAAATGGGTTATCCGTACCCGAACCGAACCCGCAAAGATCCGAACCAAAATTTAGAAATATCCGAATGGGGCTAAAATTTGTGAACCCGAAAACCCGAAACCCGAAGAGATCAGAACCGAATCCGAATGGGTACCCGAACGCCCATCCCTAGTTAAAATATACTTTTTAATCATCTACTTCATTGATTTTCATCAAATTCTTGTTCGTACCTATCACATAATTATATATTCAATTAATATAGATGTGTTTCTTTCATAAACTAAAAAAATAAAATACTCTTCACAGCCACTGATTTAATGGTTGAGTTGGGTCAATTCACCAGTCGCCACGGGGCTCGACCACCAAACATAAACTCAACGTAACTCCATACAATCAGAGATATTAATTAATGATCACAACAATCAGAAAGTAAAAACTTTTTTTGGCAGTTACAACTATAACGTGATCCAAATATTAGCAAAAACAAAATTAGTGGTTAATGTTTAAAGAAAACTAGACTTTGATCCGCGCACCCGCGCGGGTATTATTTAATTTGAAATGTGAATTTCTTTTAGTATTTTGTTAAATATACTCATATATTCTATATATATGTGAGCATGTTAATTAGAGGTGGACATTTCAGTTTAATTTCGGATTCGGTTTGAGTCCAGTATGACTTGGTTTATTTGGGTCTAAGAAAGTTTTAACCAAAATCAATCCAAATTAGTTTGATTTGATTTGTGTTTCTTTGATATGTATTTGGTTTGGTTTGGTGTGTATTCGATTCGTTTTTTTATTTGTGTTTGTTTAGTTTAACCATGTCGGTTTTTTTTTAGTTGTTTTACTTAAGTTACAAAAATATAATTTATAAAAATATAAAAATATCATTTCACACACAATCATTATTTTTTCATATTTAAACGTAAAACCAAATATCTAAAATATAGAAGAAGTAATATAATAATTTTATATTATTATTTTAAAACATAATATAAATACTTAAGGTAATTTTCCGGTTTTGATATTAATGTATGAGATTCATATTCTCTTACTTTATTTTTGGTTTTGTTTATTTTTCATTTGAGAGTAAAATCTATAAATTATTTAGTTGTTTATGTTAAATAATTAAATATATTTAATGTGAATATTATCAGTTTATTTAGTTAATATAATTAGAACACATAGATTAATTCTCTTAATTTATTTTTAGTTTTGTTTATTCTAATCGTTTAGAATTAAAATCTATAAATTATATTTAGTTGTCTATGTTATATAATTAAATATATTAAAGTTTAATATTATTAGTTTATTTATTTAATCTAATTAAAACACTTTGATTTGTTAGATTTGTATTGGTTAGTTGGTTTGCTTCGGTTCAAGTTTTTTGTAAATATCTAAATTGTTAATACTTAGTAGTGTATTCTATGGTGATAAAAAAAATCAAAGTTATAAATTACAGAGGCTGTTTACTAAATATATATCGTGCAAATTGATGATATACATTGAAGGAATATAATAAAATTCTACGTGTAGTATTGTAAAAATTCTTTTGCAAATATCTTTGTTATTGTTATTAATGTCATATATTAAATTTAGAGGTTTTGTTATTATTGTTACTAAGTCGATATGCAAATAATGTTAGTGGATATGTAAACATTTAATGGGCTTCTTATTTGTTCGTGTATTATGGCGTGAAAGAATACAAATAATTAGTAGAATTGTAGAGTTAATACCAGTGGCAAAGATTGTAATTGTTAGGGAAAAGTTAGGGTTAAATTTTAATTGTACTTCACTTTTAATAGTTTAGATTACATACAATTATATCAAAAGAAGAAATAAGTGGCTCCTTAAATATAGGGGATATAGTTGGACACAACATCTATCAATAGGGCACACTGCTGTTTTAATAGAATAGATATATTTTATTACTATAGTAATTTGTCGGTATGAGGTTATTAGTTGAGTTTGCTGCTAACATACTACTATTATGAATCAACTAATAATTCATCATTTTGGGTAAATAGAACAATCATATTTCTGTAGTAATGTAATTTTTCTATTGCGTTTGCAGGGCAATTGTGTGCAATTATTATAATTGTAATATATTATTAAATAACATATAAAAACATAAACATGATATATAATACATATAGCAAAGAAATATGTGATGTTGAGATTAATAATATATATTTTCATAATAACCTAAACATATTAGAAAAATTATTTCAGATTATAACCAGGGACGAAGCTAGACAATTTATCTACTGGATGCACTATCATTAATAAAATAGAAAAGTAAGAGAAGAAGGGTTTTAACCGAGGTTATTATGGGTGCACAACCTTACTTTTCTTTAATAAAATCTAATTTATCTATAACAATTATGGGTGACCAGGCTCCTATTGTCTAGAGCCTACCTTCGACCCTGATCATAACTACTGTTTAACATATACTAGATTTTGACCCGCGCTTGAAAGCGCGGAAATTTTTTATGATTAAAAAATTATATAATTGGGTTTTGTCTTAATTTAAAGAATATTTTGATATAAAATCAGCTCACTAAAATTTGTGGTGATGATTGTTTTTCATTAGTTTTTAGTTTCAGTTTTTATTTTTAGATTTTGGTTTTGGTTTTTAGTTTTTAAGTTTCTACTTTTCATTTTCAGTTTTTGGTTTGGGTTTTTAATTTTTAAACCCGCTGAGTTAGTTTGAACTAATATTACCGACAAAAAAATCTCAAATAATCAAACATCTAATTTAAAACTGAAAAGATGATAACAAATTTTTTTGAAAAAAATTGAAATAGTTTATTTTATAAATAAACAAAGCAAAAAAATATAACATGTGTTTTCAGCTTTTGGTTTTGGATTTTAGTTTTTAGATTTGGTTTTTGGTTTTGCTTTACATTATTTTAATCAGTAAATTATTTAAGAAAAATAAAACAATAAATTATTTAAAAGTTACCATTGAAATTTATCAAAACAAACTGATTGTTATTTAAAATAAAAAAATATATTAACATGTTTTAAAGTAAATGATTTAAATAAATGATTAATAATAGATAATTTTGTTTTGTTAAAAAAATTAAATAACTTTTGGGTCTGAAAATAATAATTGATTTTTTTGATCTTTTAAGGTGAAAAGTTTATTCAATGTTTTTGGAGTTTTTTCTTAATACTAAGCCAAAAAATAAAAGTAAGCCCAAGACTATATTCCATAAATAACCACTGGTTTAATTTAAGTATAGTTAGTAGATTTCTATATTCCATATTTTGATGATATATATTCTTTTAGAACATTCCATATTTGTATGAGAAAATATGTGTTTTTGGTATACACATAGATACCTGCTATATTTTGAAGGTAGTGTACATTAAGGTTGCCTCTTTACATTAATTGTGTTGGTTTAATTTAAGTAATACGGTTCAATCATTATATGATTTATATTATTTGTAACATTCTAGAAATGGTCCAAATTTAAATGACAACTTGTATCAGTAGATAAAAAGAATGACTCTATTTTAATAGAGTAGATTCATTTCACATTTTTCACAATGCCATACATATTTTAGATAGTAAAATAATAAATTGTGCGTTTTATTCATTTTTATTAAATTTGCTATTTCTTATAACATATATGTAATATATTGTAATATAGATATTAAATACAATGTTATTTGTATATATCCGGGCGTAGCGCGGACAAAATCTCTAGTATTTTATAAAATTTGAAGGAGAATCAAGTTTATTATTGAAATCCATTATTATATAGTTTTAGGTCCAAATAAAAATAATAAAATTGTCATTAATGATAAACTAAATTTATATATAAGATAATGTTTATGTTTTAATAGTATTGATCATGTCTTAAGTCAGTAAAATGTATAGCATGAAAACTTATACCTTTAGACTTTTCATTATACTTGAGGAAATGCCCAATGGTCATGGAGTTGCTGACGTGGCTATCTTGGATTGGTTTCAAGCAAATGTCCTTGTGTTTCTGTAGACTATGTATTTGCACTAACCACCAAATTAACCAGCTCCAAGATATCTTCAAGGCCTTAAATTGTGGAGGAAGACGCAGACTTTCTTAAAAGTATGTACGGAGAAGCAGCATATGACTTTCGATTAAGAATCTCAGGCAAAAGCTGAAAGAATTACATAGGCTTTCATTAGATGTGTAGAAAGCGTGTTATACAAGAAACATTTATCAGATCTGTTGACAAAAGAATCTGACAGAAGAAACGTTGTCTTCTTCCAAAAAGCCTCAGCAGGTTTCCAAAGAAGAGTTCATGATCTGTTTGTAAGTTCAAGACTGCACCAGAAGAAGCTTGAGCATGAATCTAGGGCATCGTCTCATGACCTGTGTACTCACTCTGAAGCAGAACTGATTGTGTGATACGTTAACGTTGTTGCCCATGACTCTAGTGCTGAAAATTTTTAGGACCAGTGGAGTCCAGCTAATAGTTTTTCGGAAACCACATCTAGCTTTTCGCCAGAGATAAACGGCGAGAAGCTTGAGAATGTTGAGCACTTGGTTCAAAAGCTCAGAAGGCTTAACCCTAGCCATGATGAAGTCAACCAAGATTACATTGCATCTCTCTGCGAGAACGCAGATCCTAATACCGATGATAGATGAAGCTACAACGAAACCATTGATGAAGTCATATGGTAAGATGACTAAAAAGCCATGAGTGTGCAACAGCTATTGAAAAAACTGTGTTCAGATATAGAAACACTGCAAAGGTAAGCCACAAGGAGATATAAGCAAATTTGTTGTTGGAGGAAGAAGACGACATCCTGAAAAGTATATATACTTGCAGAAGATGTGATGATTCGGTCTGGGAATGGGTTAGACTTCAATAGAGAAACCTCAGGATTGGTGCTGGACGTGGAGAGGCTTATTTTCAAGGATCTGGTGAATGAGATCATCGGGCATGCACAAACTAGGCGGGTTAAAGCAAAGTCAAGAAGACGAAGAACTCTTTTTCACAGAGCAGTAGCTAATGCTGTTGAAGAAACATGATAGACTTCTATTAGCTTGAGTCTGACGTGGCAGGGAGGACGTTGACGTGTTTAATGAGGAAGAGTCAGGAGAGCCTTGGTTTGGTTCAGAAGGTTCGTGAAGAAGTTGAGTATAAAGAGGAAGTTTCAGAGGTAGAGGAGGAGGGGATGCTTATGAATTATGATGTTGATTTGATTCAAGCGCTATGAGCTTGGCCATGTGGTTCTAAAGTCTATCAAAACACCAAATATATACAGCTTAGGGCATTGGAGTAGCTAATTCTAGTTTTTCGGTTGTTCAGTATTATACAGCAGGAAATTTATCATATGATGTATTATGTAATACTAAGAGAACTCATGACAAGGTATTATGTATTATGCAATATTAAGAGAACCACCAAACCAGCTTTAAGATATATATGTTTGACTTTACATTTATTCAAAGGCAGGGACATTACATAGATTATGAGAAACAAAGCAGGAGGTTTTGAGAAGAAGAGCAACAAATGGGGGTACAAGAATGGATATTTGGCACCCCCAAATATAGTTTTACCACAAGTTCTTGGCCTTGTGGATGAAAGCATCAACGATGTAGAACCAAAATCTGCTCCAAGGAGAGTCAAAACATAGAGATGAGAATATTCCAAGAAGTATAGTCACATAAGCTGCAGCTAAACTCCAGTAAAAAGATACCATGTCCACTATAGACTCATCAGATTCCATTCCATTATCTGGTTCTTGAAAGTTACTGCTGTCGCAGCTTATGTTGATGACTAATTGTCCACAGAGAAGAGGATTGCCTAAGTAGCTTTTTGTACCAAATGTATTAAACTGTTTTCCTTGTGGAATGACTCCAGATAAGTTGTTGAAGGAGACATTGAAAACAGCTAGGCTGCTCAGCTCTGTTAGTTGTGATGGAATCCGGCCTTGTAACCTGTTGAAGGAGAGATCAAGGCTTTCCACATTCTTCAGACCTGAAAAGCTTTCTGGTATCAACCCTGATAACTTGTTGTGAGAAAGGTTAAGAGCTTTTAGCTCAAGAAGACCTCCAAGCTCTGCTGGGATATCACCACTCAACTCATTATCTGAGAGATCCATTCCATACAATAATTCCAGATTTCCACCTAGGTAAGTATCGGTGCTTTGTTGCAAATTCAGTTTGAATCTGGGTAGTTGACTTGTATAACACTCTAAACGGCTCCAGCACAATAGGAGATTTGAAGTATAGCTCTCCTGACTTCATGCGGAAGTCTTCTTGTACCGAAAAACCAGCGAACCAAATACCACTCCTCTGAATATTGTTGAAGAAAACTTCTATCCCAGAAACAAATGATGTATTGCTGAAGCATGAAGGTATGGATCCGTTCAACCTATTGTTGGCAAGATCAAGAAGTTGGATGTTTCTTAGGCCACATAACTGGCGAGGAATATTACCTGTTAAATTATTCCCCCTAAGAAGAAGAGTATGTGTGTCTTGGGTGTTGGTGAACTCAGGAATATTCCCAGACAATCTGTTATTTCTCAGATCAAGTACAGAGACACCAGTTAGCAATGTGTCTGGAATAACCCCTGATAATTCATTATCTTGAAGGAGTAATACTATGGGTAATTGCGAATTGACTTGCGGAGCTATGCCACCAGATAAGGTATTTTCGGAAAGGTCCAACAGCTGAAGAGCAGTTAAGCTGAACAAAGAAATAGGTATTTCACCTTCCAATGCGGTTTTTGAAAGTAGTAATCCGTTTAAGACTCTAAACTCGCCTATCCAACTTGGAATAACACCCGTAAGATTGTTGTTTGAAATGTCAAGCAATCTCAAGAATTTCATGTCCCGCAAACCTTGACCAATCTCTCATGTGAACAGATTGTTATCCATGTACAACTCTGTTATACTAGTGAAGTTGACTGATTCCGGAAACACCTCTCCACTTAGTTTGTTGTGTGACAGTGTCAAGATTTCAATGGAATAACAACCCATTAAAAGACTTCTTGGCAGCTTCCCATGAAAGCTGTTGTGAGATATATCCAGATATGCAATCCTTTTCATGTTACCAAGAGAAGATGGAAGAAATTCATGGAAACCGTTATTAGCTAGTTTCATATAATGTAAATGAGGAAGTATCCACCCGATATTCTCAGGAAGCAAATGGTTGAAGTCATTGTCTGACACATCCAGGAAACCTAGATTATGAGCAGATCCTTGAAGCTGAAAGTTTGTTAGCGAATTATTTTGTAGAAACAAAACTTCGAGCTTTGTATTGTTGACTAGTAGCCAATGAGGAAAATCTCCAGAAATTTTATTGTTAGAGAGATCAATGCGGCTCAAATCCTTTTGGAATAAGAGAAAATAAGGAACCTTCACCAAGTTGCAAGATGGTAGTTCAATAACACTCAGCTGAAATTTTGGCTTCCAATAACTTTCAGACTCTACTTGAAATGATTTGGATTCCGAACCAAGTTTGAAAACCCTCAACATCGAGAGGTTGGCAAGCGAACCGAGTGAGAAGAAGCCTTCAAAGTTGTTATCTAACAATGATAAGTACTTGAGGGATCCAAGGCTACCAAGAGCAGGTGGAACTTTCCCAGTCAATTGGTTTGATGAGAGATCAAGAACTCGAAGCCTAGTCAAGCCAAATAAGCATGAAGGAAACTGACCTACAAGTTTGTAATGACTGAGATCAAGCTCTTGCATATTTTTTATTTCGCAAAATCCCTGTGATGGTCAAATGAAAATTTAAATACACATCAGTAAACGTTAATTCACCACCATCTTTAGTGGAATAGCATAGTATGTGTATGGACTTGCCTTGCAATCCACTTGATGCAGAAAATTCATTACCACTGAGATCCACAGCTTCCAACTTCCGTAGGAAAGGTAACACTGCCACAAGACAAAACCACACAAAGCAAAAAAACTTTTCCTATGAACATGATGATCTCAAGAAAATATGTTCTATGGAAAGAACTTTTGAACTACCTCATATTGGTAAAGGTCCATTAAATTTGTTTTCACTCAAATCCAGCAGTTCCAAGTTTGTCAAACCTTAAAGTTCCGAAAAGAGTCCAACAGAAAACAAAAAAAACTTACAAATTAACACAAGGCATAATAATGATAAGCAAGACATGATGAAAAGTTAAATCTTACAAACTGATGCAAGACATAAAAAGTTAAATCAATACTGATAAACTGAATCAACTGAACAAAATATGCATCACCACGAAATACCATCCTATTTAGAAATGAAAAAAAAAACACCTTCGTCTGGGAAAGGGCCATCCAATTGGTTGGACCTAAGAAATAGTCTCTTTAGTGATGTAGCGGCTTTAAGAAAGGGAAAAATGCTGTTGTTGAATAAATTTTCAGAGAGATCCAGAATCTCCAAGTTTCTTAATCTTCTTAAACTATTATCGCCTGCAAACGAAACCTTTTATTTTCGATCGAGCATCTTGCTAAACATTTTAGTAGACTAACCTTGCAATCCCATTGGTCTATAAAATCCATTCGAACTTAAATCCAGAGATTTCAGCATCCTCAGGGAAGATAAATCTGCCACAAGACAAAAGTCAACACAAATGTAAGCATCTTTACCTGCCAACATCACAATTTCAAAGATTACACGAACAAATGGTATATTTCAACTATTAAATCAACCAAAACCTATGAGCTACCTTGTACTTTTAGAGGGCCTCGAAAGCCGTTGGCACCCAGGTCCAACAGTTCCAAGTTTTTTTTTTGTTTTTTTGTTTTACTCAACTTCAACTTTTCATTAACCAATTCAATGTCTTACAAATGGCTTATCAGCCTCAACACAACTAAATAACCAACCAGACACAATAGAATACAACTTAGGGACAATGGACGTAAACGTAGCAGTCTCCTTCACTATTCTATCGGCAGCTTTGTTACCACTCCGCTGAAAATAGACCACATCAAAGCCTCCATTCCAAGCTAACAGAGTGGTGATCTCTTGAAAGATGGGCTTCAGCTTTGGCCAAATCTCCTCCTCTCCTTTAAAAATTTTCGTTAAAAGCAAAGAGTCGGTTTCAAAAGTGACGTTCCTATAGCCAAAACCTGCAAGAGTATGTATCGCCCATCTCATGGCTTCAGCCTCCACTTCCAATACCGATCCCACTCCAAACAGCTTCTTTGCACCAGCCCACACCACATCACCAGTAGAGTTTCTCAGAATCCAACCCATGCCCCCTGTGAGGGGTAAAACTCACTTCCTGATTTTAGGTTAGGTTTAGATTGGGGAAAAGACAATCGTGGGCTGAATCCCTTAAGAACTTAGAGAATGAATTATGATTGTATTGATGAATAAGGTTTACAAAGATGATTCTGATGAGTACAAAGAATATAATCGAATGATTTGAGAGTTACAATGTGTGTGTAAATTTGTAAAAAGCGTGAATGAATCCAGAGAGAGAGAGAGCTTTCTCTGATCTCCTCCATCTCCTTAAATAGCTCTCAGCCACGTTTGAAAGATCCTAACCAGCCTCCGAGATTTGCTCCGTGAATTGGGGGATTCTCAACAGTCTCCTTTTGACCGGGTCCTGCGCGACCAGCCTGAGCTACTCCTGTTAGCTCCTTGTAAATGAGGTCCGGAGCTCTCCTGTTAGCTCCTTGTAAATGAGGTCCGGAGCTCTCCTCCGTGACCTGTTTATAAATGAGGTCCGGAGCTCTCCTCCGTGACCTGTTTATAGATGAGGTCCGGAGCTCTCCTCCGTGACCTGTTTATAGATGAGGTCCGGAGCTCTCCTCCGTGACCTGTTTTGTTGACGTTCCTTCCTTAGCAAAAACAGCCTCCGGCTTCTTTTTGACTCTTTTCTCAAAANATGAGACCTCTTTTCTCGGAAGCTAAAGCTCAACCGCCTGATCTCTATCTCTTTGTTGAGATAGCGACTATGTCTTCGTGTTCCCAAGACTTCTGGCCAATGGGCTTTCTTTTTATCTTTGTTAAGACTTGTGGCCTGAGGAGGCCTTTAAACTTTTGCTTTATTAGGATCTTTGATCTTCGTCGATGTTTTGATGAATGCCTTAATACGGACTCGATCGTCTAAGTAGAAGTTTTAACTCCCTTGAACGAAGGATTCTGGGTCGTGTTAGTAACAGGTCCCGTAGTCGTTGGACACGAGGTCTAGGAAACTTTCGGGTGAAGGTCGGGGAGCCTGTTGATAACAGGTCCCGTAGCCTTTTAGCGAGAGGTCCCGAGAATGGGTTTCTGGGACCTGAATTTACTTGGGATATCTTTTAGATCTCGAACGCTGCTAAGGGTTTTGCGACCTTAGGTTTTGGTTTTTGAGAACCTGAATTTTTTTTTTTTTTTTTTTCTTTTGCGAAGGATTTTAAGACCTTGAGTTTGGTTAAGGTTTTAAGACCTTTGATTGAGGTTCTTTGGGAACCTGGATTTTTTTTCGAAGGCTTTTAAGACCTTGAGTTTTGATGAGGGTTTTAAGACCTTTGATTGAGGTTCTTTGGGAACCTGAATTCGTTTTCGAAGGATTTTAAGACCTTGAGTTTTGTTAAGGGTTTTAAGACCTTAGATTGAGGTTCTTTGGGAACCTGAATTCGTTTTCGAAGGTTTTTAAGACCTTAGATTGAGGTTCTTTGGGAACCTGAATTTGTTTTCGAAGGATTTTAAGACCTTTGAGGTTACTAAGGATTTTAAGACCTTAGGTTTAGGTTTGTGGAAACCTGAATTAGCTTGTTTAAAGGATTTTAAGACCTTAGTGGTTACTAAGGATTTTAAGACCTTAGGTTTAGGTTTACGGGGACCTGAAT